CAAAATGCATTCTGCTGTCATATATACCTAATTAAGATAAATAAATCAATTTAAAAAAATTGAAAGGGTTGGGGATGTGGCTCAGTGGTTAAGCACCCCCTGGGTTCAATCCCAAGTACCAAAATAATAATAATAAAAGTAATAACAAATTAAATTTTAAGACATTAAAATTTTAAAAATTGCATTTGCTTGGGAGTCCACATGACTTAATTATATACAATCAATTGGGTGAGCATCTAAATGATGATGTACGACACTTCCACACCGAGTCCCTACAACAACTTACATTTCCAGCCTTCTCTGCCCCCATCACGGTAGCCTTGAGAGAAACGTTCCATGAAGTCCAGCTTCCAGGTGGAAGCAGTCCATCTCTCTGGGGACAGCCACCAGTTCTACCTTGAACCGTGACAAGAGAAAAGAACATTGGTGGTGTCAAGCCGCTGAAGATGGGAGCCTCGCTTAATCCTGAACAACAGGGGACCTGGGACCACGGTCATGACGAAAACCCTGACTAGACATCGGACCGCAGGCCGTGAGGAAGCTGATTTCTCAGGTTGAAAAGATGAAGCTTCATGTTACAAACTGTCAAAGCTGTCAGGTCCTGTCTGCTAAAACTGCAGCTGCAGAGAGGAACTTGAAAATGTATATTAATAGTATGTTGGTTGTTTATGTCTGAATTTGTCAAGGCCAGAGGAGAAGAGCTCAGAGGGAAAAAAAAAAATCTCCTGTTCTTGAAATAGAAAAGGGAGGCGGGAGAGAGAGAAAGAGAGAGAGACAGAGAGAGAGAATGAATAACGTCTACAAATTCAAGGTCTTAACACTGTTGGAAAAGCCATCTGTGTCTTGGTTCCAAACATTAAGAGAAAGATATTCAAGAATTTTTTAAAATTCAGCAGTACAAGTCCAGGAAAAAAAAAAAAAGTGATGTTTCAAGCCTAACAGCCTCATTCAGGAGAGAGAGAGAGAGAGAGAGAGAGAGAGAGAGAGAGAGAGAGAGAGAACGCAGAGAAGTAATTTGAGAAGTACATCTGGTAAGAAACTTGAACTGTGACAGATGGCATAATATACACACAGAGGTGACTGGATACAAACAGATGAGAAACCTCTTAGTCATTAAGAGAACAATCCTGAAACCACAAGAGAGTCTGGACCAAAAAAAAAAAAAAAAGGCATGGACGATTCAAAATGAAAATCAACTCCACGCTCAGCGAGCAGTCCTCAGAGGCTGCAGAGCCCCCTAGAGGAGCAGGCTCTCTTCCACACACCTCAGAGGCACCCAAGGGGAAGAACGGGAAATGAGTGGGGCCTCCACAGGGCAAGCAGGGAGTCAGGATCACAAAGACAGAGAGCTTCCCCAGAAAGGGGAACCAAGCCTAGTGGTTATATAACATCTGCCTGAGGGTCACAGGATGGATTACAGAGTTCAACTCCACCCCCACCGCCCACCCCCGGGATGGCCCCGGTTGCAAGGACTCTGGCCTTTGGAAACTAGCTGCATTCGATATAAATCACCTGTCCCTTTGGTACCCAGGACAAGGTGGGTCCATATCCTCATCCAAAAGCCTCCGTCAAGAAATCCCATAGACTTAGGTGGATTGAAGGAGTCCGTGGGAGTTTGGTCATCTCTCTTTTGACTGGGTCAATTGTGTCCTCCGTGCCTAAGAGGTGAGCCGAGGGCAGACTGCGATAGAAACTGTTCGTCCTCACCAGGTGCTCAAGTGCTTCCTCATCCTTCCTCGGGGGTCCCTGGCAGTCACAGCAAAGTCATGTGATGAGCTTACGTCCAGGGCATGTAGGCAGAAGTGACCTGACCGCTTCCACAGCTGGCTTCTTTAGAATTTCCTACACAGTGACCAAGCCGCTCTTCTCTGGCCTCCGTGAACTTGGAGGCCACACGTTCCAAGGGACCGCTGGAGTTTATGCACGCTGAGCCTCTGAGCCCCCCCCCCCCCCGCCTTGGGGGAGCGCACTTGTGACAAGCTGCTTTAGCAACATCTGGCTGTCACACGCTCATAAAACAGATGTGCTGCCGCGAGCCCACCGAGATGGTTGCTGCTGTTCCGGAGGGGTCAGCCAGCGTTCCCGGTGACCTATTTCCAGCGAAATAGCTACGGCCCTGTGTGCCTCCACGCCTGCCTTTGTGCAGGAGAGCGGGAGTCCATGGCTGTGAAAGGATCGTGAGATCCTGTTACAGAAAGAATTATTTCAAACAAACAAGCCTCAAGGCAATCCTGGGGAGCAGGCTCCGCTTTCATAAATGATTTCACAGAAGAGGAAGAGACTTAACTTCTCTGAGTTTCTGTATTCTCCTTTTAGAAATGGACTTTAACTTTGGTGTTTCCTGGGAGGATGAAATAAGCCAATCCTTGTGAAAACAGAGTACTACAGAGTCGTGCACGTGCTGTGTAGGTTAGTGCTCTTGGTGACAACTTGCTATTTGCGAGACACATTCATAGAAGTCTTAGACTAATGTAGAGTTATGGGGTAGTTTTTTTCCAAGAGGGACGAGAAACTGCAGACATGGCCTCTGTGACCTTTGAGATAGACAGAAGTCAGCTCTTTCCGGGTCTGGTTTTGCCCCAAGGAAAAACAGAGGTGAGAGTTACAATACAGTAAAAGTGTCCCAAGACAGAGTCAAAAGGCAGAGGCTCCAAAAAAGAGCTCTGCCCAAACACATGAAGTAGGCTTCAGGACTCCCCGACTCTGGTCCCCCCCCCAACCCACCCACCACCCCGATCTGGGCTTTTTACTCTTTTGTGGTTGTTGTTTCCAAGAGAGGGTTGGGATAAACGTCTGTGTCTCTTCCAAGTCTGTCTTTGGCTTTATCATAGCACAGGGAAATCGGGAGCCGTACGAATCAAAGCCAGGAGCCCCGATTCCTGGCACCCTTTCCTGCTGATCTCCCACCATTCCCTGAAAAGCTCTCAGGCCAAGATTTTGCTTTCTCCGTGGGGGACGCCGATCTCAGAGTGGGTCCTGACCAAGGCCTGCCATTCATCAGACACCAGATCTGAGGAGTGAGAGGTGGGTTCATCCCAGGTCACTGCTGAAGGAGAAGCCTCCTGGAAGGAGACAGATAAGAACAGCCGGCTCCAGCCAGCCCCGTGGTTAGAGACAGCCAGGCTACTAGAGGGAGCAGCTGCTGGTGAACTTGGGTGCCTTGAGAGGGACCCACCAAGTTTCTGGAATTCAGATAAAAACTTAGGGAGAATAATACAAATATAGGAAGTCACTCACGGATAGGAGCTTCTCAGCTCCCAGATGAGCTCTGAAATCATTCCTACGAAGGCCCACATAATACTTCACCCACGTCAGCCAAGAACCTCTGAGGGTCAAGAAACTTCCAAATTTATATTCACGACACAATTTCTGATACCTCCCTCGTGTCTCCCAAATGTGCAACTCGTTCATTCCTGGAAACCGTCCCTACGAGCATACGTCTTTACTTGGAGGCAATAGGAAGTTTGGAGAACGTATGGAGAAAGCCATCTGCCTACACTCTCAGTCTCTTTCTAGTACCCCCGACCCGACCCATCTGCCCCCATTTCCTAATAATAAAAACTGTTAACTTCCGATTAATCGGTACCTACAGAGATTTGGTCGCTTTTCTAAGTAGTGTGTGTGTGTGTGTGTGTGTGTGTGTGTGTGTGTGGTGTGTATAAACTCATTAGATTCACATGACAGCCCTCAAAGTTAGGAAAGATTATTATCCCCATCTTAACCTGGCAGTGTGTGGAGAGGTGTGGTGACCGTGGCCTCCAAGCTTGTCAGAGGCAGGGCCATCACCCAAACTCGGGCATCTTGGATTCACTGTCTCCACTAGACTATCCCATTTGGAACGGAGTAACAAAAACCAGGGAAGGCCAAGTGTTCTGGCCTCGACTCGATCCCTTTGTAGGGAATTGCATTCTAGTTATTCTAGATGGGTGCTTAGAAACCTTGTAAGCCACTAAGGGGACTCTCTAAACCCTTTGCCCATGACAGAAATAACCAGTGAACTGCAATACTGTCCTCTATTAACTCAAGGCAAGTCCTCGGAACCCTTCTTAACACACCTATCTGTGCAACCTTTACCCATCAATCAATTGCATCCTGGGGTGTGTGGGAAAAGCCAGAAAACAGCCAGGCAGGGCCTCCAACCAGTATTCAAGCTGTAATTACTGCAATTGCCTCAATAAAGACTTTACCCCTCCTTGCACCCTCTCCTACTTGGTTATACACAATGTTATACACAATGCAGTACGTACAGGTTCTTGTGTTCCTTGTTTCTTTGATGTCTTCAAGCCATCAGACTCCTTGTCTGCAATGCATGCTCAGGGAGTGAGAGTAAACTAGGAGTAAACTTTTCCAATTGTGTTCCTTGAAATCTTTGGGGTGTGAGGGCACAGGGGCCACCTCCTCTGCTGCAAACAGACCCACTACACGATAGTATATTGGATATATAGAAGTTTGTCTTGATTTCATTTGGAAAAGGTCTTTATCAGCTAAGTGAATCATTTTAAAAGGCACCAGCAGTCAAAATCAATAGGAACGATCTTGTTCTGATGGTCCTTAACACTAAACCCCAAGGCATTAGGATTCTACGACCACTGGATTAAGTCACAGGGGTGAAGTTCTCCTGTGCTATCCTCCCTGGGTCATGCAGACCCAGCAAAGCTAAGTTCTGCTGAGCAATCGCTCTTTTGCAAATGAGTGAGCACCCTGCAAAAGTTTGAGGGTCCCTTCCTGTCTTCCCGAACTCTGAAGATCACAAGGTGAACACAGGGACCAGGGGGCATTCTTAAATCCACTGCTTTCCTATGCTGTTAGTTTCTTTGCTCTCCTGCAGATGTGGAATAATATTTCATAATCACATACGCCCTTCCTTCTCAATCCTCATGAAACAGGTGCCAAATCCCACCCACAAGTTTGCTTCCTTCTATCTTGCAATTTTTCTCAAGAGCCAGAGTGTGGTCAGCTGTTGAGAATCTTCCCTTCAACATGACTTGACTCTGACCCCGTGTAGGCAAGGGCTTCCCTGGAAGCTCCCACCCACTCTGCTCCCTATAAAAGCAGGCAGAACAGCCACAAGAGCAGAGAGGCTGAGACCAACCCCGACACCTCCACCTCTCACACCAAAGCCCTCATCTGGCACCACCATGAAGGTCTCTGCCGTGCTTCTGTGCCTGATGCTCACAGCAGCCATCCTCAGCATGCAGGTGCTTGCTCAGCCAGGTAAGCCCCCTCTTTCCCTCCAGGAAAGCTATGCACCTTCAGAACCATCAGGTCAGAAAGAATCGTCAGAGACTCCCTGCAAATTCTGCATTTTAATCATGGGAAAACAGGTTTCTGAGCAGATAAGAACTCCCAGCCCCAAATCCAGCCCATGGAAGAGCCAGAATTGGCAGTCTGGCCACTGAGGCAAGTTCCCATGCTCTTTCTTTGTCGTGAGCATTGACGGATGCTGGGTGCATCCCTGACCAGCTGTCCTCACAGGATTTGGTGTGGCATGGTGGGCATTTTTGATAGTAGTAAAGGGGGATAAATCTGTTGATTCAAGCCTAGAAGTTTTGCTAGACTCCAAGAGAGCTTTCAGAAACATGGATTAGAAGGCGGTGAGGTACCAGGGCACCCTCCGGAGGTGATTCATTTTGAATCTGCTTGGGGAGCATATCTAGGTGTTTGGGCCATAACTCATCTTCCCATCCTCTGAAGAAGTATTAGTGTATTAGTTTCAATAAGCTCATGCATGCCGCAGTAACAAACAATCCTGATTACCCATGGCCTAACACAATTAATTCACTCAAAAAGGGTCAATTTCTCATTTATAACCAAATGTCAGTAATGCATGGGCTCAGGATTCTAACTACATCCTCAGGACCCTAAACCAGTTAAGGTGATGAAGAAGAAAAGCTCTTAAGGAGCTTCAGTGGCAAAACATGTCTGCTTAGAAACGACACAGGTCACTCCGTCTTCTCCCTTATTGGTCAAAACTAGTAATGGCTCCAACCCCAAAAGAGTGGTCAAGAAGTGTCAGTCTCTCCCGTGTCCAGAAAGCAGAGAACTGAGAATATTTGCAGGACATTCTGGTGACCATCACAAAGCCAGGTGGCTTCTCATCAGGAAAGAGTGGGAACCTAGCACCTTGATCAAATTTGTCTGTATTCTTGGCAGAGGTGATGGGTTCCCACCATAGGGAGGGATCCGTGTCAAGGTAGAGGCAGAACCTTTCACAGTGAATGAAGGAGCCTCCACCTCTTCCACGTCCTCACTTTCTCCTAACTTCTTTCCGTCTTTACAGAGTCATGCTGGAGAATCCTCACTTACCACGAGTGGCTCATTCTTTCTGTTTTTCTTTCCCTCTTCTCAAATTCAGCTTCTGTCCCCACTACCTGCTGCTTTACCGTGGCAAACAAGAAGTTCTCCATTCAGCGCCTGGAGAGCTACAGAAAGATCACCGGCAGCAAGTGTCCCCAGAAAGCCGTGATGTGAGTAGAATGAGCTCACCCTCCCCCAGACCAAAACTCCTGCCCAGGGCACCGAGTCAAGAAGAACTGCGTCAGAATTCCTTGGAGTCACAGGCTCAGTTTGTAATCTAATCCATGAATTTTCCCAACAGAAAACATTCACCCTCCGTTCCCTGCACGGGAGCTTGTTCAGGGTAGACTTGGTCCTTGGAGTAAGAGAAAAGATGGTTTTTACGGGGCCTTCAAGGGCAGCAGCCTACCCCAGAGTCCAGTCCTTCCTCTGCCCCCTGTTGTTCTTCCACAACTACCCCTTTAGCAAATAACCCAGCAACCCCGTTAGCAAAAAGATCTGTAGCAGATAATCCCCGAGGGTGCAGAATCCAATGGGCAGAGATTCAAGTTCAAGGAGAATCGTTCTAATTTCTTGCTCCCTTCCCATAGCTTCAAGACCAAACAGGACAAGGAGTTCTGCGCTGACCCCAAGCAGAAGTGGGTCAAGGACGCCATCAAGTACCTGGACCAAAAACTCCAAACTCCGACGCCACAGTAATCACCAATTTGGAGACTAAACCAGAGACTGAGACGAAACTCAGAGATGGAGAAATGCTGGATTCAGCTTCCCTTCCTATGATGCATTCTGAAATAATCTCATTATCATACGCAAAGGAATGGGTCTTATTATGTAATTAAAAACACATTATATTTAAGTTATTGGAATTTTTTTAAATGTATCTTCTATGAATGTTTAAGAATGAATATGTCATTTTTTAAATGTAAAGCTCTGAGTCGATCGCTCGCCCTCTGTGAGCCCCAGCGAGTTCCCCTGTGAGGGTGAACCATGAGACTCCTCTCCTGCCTACCTCCCTGGATTCTTGTAAGGGTCCTGGAAAAGATGATCATTGTGAAATGCTGTGTATTTTTAGGAGGACGCTGCTCTCACAAACCTAAGTTTAATTCACAATGCACAATGTTCAATGAAAGTTAAATATTGTTAAAGGAATATATAAGATAAATATAAATTTCATTACGGTAAGCGGTTGTGTATTTTGGTGTGGGAGGGAGATTCACACTGAGCTGGGGGGGCGGGTAAAGACAGCTGTGGGGTGTAAGGTCTGGTTGTGAAGCAAATGACCCTTTGGTTTGGCTGATCTTCAATGAGACTCAAGGCCCATTCATACTCTCGGATTTCTGCCCCCAGCACCATTTCCCAGACTCAGGTTAGTTTAGTCACTTACTCTGCAGGAGCGCCCACCCCCGCCCCCCCCACCCCCGCCGCCAAATTCTTTTCCTCACCCACTTCAAACTTGCCCCAAGTTTCTCCTGTGACCCATTACAACAATCTTCTCCCACTCCCTGACCTGACGGCTCTGTCTTCCAACCTACACAGAGGCCACAGACATTGAGAAATCAGCGGAAGCCCAGAGGACCCTTGGCAAGAGGTTTGGGTGGAGACTTCAAAGCAGAATGGAACTCATACGAGTTCTTGGAGGAGAGACCGGAGTGGAGTGAGAGACATATCAGTGCAGGAAGAGAAAGAGATATTCTTTGAACAAATGCCTAGAAGTAGGGATGAGCATGTTGGTCAGATTGGGTGGATGCCTAGCCAAAGTGTTAGAGCTAGAATGTGCACCACGTTGGGAAACTTGGAAAGAAGTTCGAGGGCCACCTGTCAGAGTGGAGGGTTTGAGCTCCATTCAGATAATTGTAAGTAAGGTGAGCATAGCATTTGTATCCCCAAAATAGGATTCTCTTCAGAGTACAAGGTAGGCTTATAAACAATTTATTCTTGGACAATGGATGTAAATCAGAATGGTCCCAGGTAAACTGGAGCACCAGGTCACCCTAGTGATTATAGACACTGAAAGTTTCAATTCAGTGGAGAGAGAAGGACCATGACCAGAGTTCCCCAGGAAGAGCAGGTAGCTAATGTGCCTAATTGGGAGGAAAGAGAGATGTGTTAGCACAATACCACAATAGATAGGTAAGAGGCCATTGTGCATGGACCAAAGCATGGGTAGACCGGGTGGGGAGAAGGTAAGGTAAGAAGGTAAGGCCAAGGCAGGGTGAGATGCTCTGTGTTAGGGCGGGGGGAAAGTAGGACTGGTTCAGGAAACTCCCCAAACTCCACAGAGCTGCAACTGAAGGGTAGCTTCTTAGACCTAGAAAATCCACTTCCCTCTAACACTCTTCCCTGACACCGTAACTTTACCCGCTTAAGAGCTTCTGTTCAAATGGACAGGACTGCCTCTTCCGGCATAAGCAACTCAAGGCAGTATTCAACCTGCATTTGTCAGTCACATGACCCCCTTGTGGGGACACACACAGCAACTGGGTCCCCAAGGGTAGAAAAGAGCTATGGTTGCCCTGCAGAGAAACGTCTCCACGGTTAGGTGCTGCCAATTCAGGGGGCTGAGGGTCTGGTCATGCCATGTTTAGCTGGATCACTGTATTCACAGCTCCATTGGGCCCCGTTCACACCATCTCTCCTGGGACCTTAGTGACCATGGCACAAGGACATGTAAATGGCAGCATGAGACACTAGGAAAAGCACTGACCCGGAAGGCTGTCTAGATAGCCTTGGTTTTATCACCAGAACTGATCTCTCTCACTGTTCTACACTGAGCCTTGGTTAACTCATCCCTAATAGGAGGAAGACCATATCTTTTAGGGAGGGGACTGAGGAGTCCAATCAATGGCCCTACCCAGTCTTCTATGCTGAGAGCTCTGGCACTTGATCACGTCATTACCTCCCCCCACGGAAGCAGCAAAGGCTGGCGGATGGTTCAACAGTCATCCTTCCAAGGAGGACAGGGGCTGAGGTAACTGGCACACCTGCTGCATCTTAGACTAAGTCTTTCTGGAAGTTTCTCTATGAGAACATCAAGGAGAAGCATGGACCCCAGGAGTCACCATAGAGCTTCTAGTGATTATCACACACTGGCACCCATTCATAGCAATGAATGCCTTTCACTTCAG